TTTAGTGTCATGTTTAAGAACTCTTTGCATTGCCCTGGGACTTGAAGATTTTCTGCTTTCTTCTAAAAGTTTTACAGTTTTACATTTAAATCTATGATCCTTTTTGAATTCATTTTGATTCAGGTGTGAGGTCTAGTTCCAAGGTTTTTTATTTTTTGGGGTTTTTTTTGCCTATGGATATCCAATTGTTCCAGCACTATATGTTTAAAAAACTACCCTTCCTCCATTGCTTATCTTTTGCTGCTTTGTAAAAAATCAGTTGGCTGCATTTGTGTGGGTTTCTGGCTTCACTATCTCATTTCATTCATCTATGTATCTATCTCTCCATAATACACATTGTCTAGATTACTATACTTATATAGTAAATCTTAAAATTGGGGAGAGTGACGCCTCCCACTTCATTCTTCTTTTCTAAAATAGTTTTCATTATTATAATTCCTTTGCTTTTTCACATACATTTTATAATAATATTGTCTAAATCTATAAAAAAATATTTGCTGAGGTTTTGATAGGAACTGTGTTAAACCAGTAGATTAATTTGGGGAGAACTGACATCTTCGCCAAGTTGAGTCTTCCAATCCATGAACACAGTATGTTTTTCCACTTATTTACATCTTCCTTAATTTTTTTCATCTTCACTTTGTAGCTTTTAGTAGATAAATCCTGTACATGCTTTGTTAGAATTGTGCCTACATGTTTTATTGGTGGGACTGTAGATGGTACTGTGCTTTTAATTTGAGTTTCCACATGGTCCTTGATAATATATAGAAATACAATTGCTTTTTGAAAGATGATTTTATATCCTGTGACCTATGTAAACTATTAGTTCTAGGAGGGTTTTTTGTTTGCTTGCTTGGGGTTTTGTTTGTTTGTTTGTTTGGTTTATGTTCCTTGGGATTTTTCTACGTAGGTCATTGTGTCATCTGAAAATAAAGATAGTTTTATTTGTTCATTTTCAATCTGTATGTCATCATGAATGGATTATCCACTGTGAGAATCATCCAGGCAAAAAAACGCATTTTATCCCAAATATTTTGTTTTCTTGCTCACTTCTGGATTATTTCCCAGGTCCACTGTGTGTTCAAGGAACACAGGCTCACTCTTACATTAGATCAAGCAACTATTATTAGGAAAAACATCTGGAAATAATAAGATAACACATTGCAAAGCCAAAGATGGAAGATCTGGGGACTTTTTATGTCACACCCTCTGCAAGGGTTACTGCAGGGTCTAGGTACTGTTTGTTCCCTTAGGTGAGGGCCACCCAGGACTCAGGGCTGACCTTCTGAAAGCCTACCCAGGAAAATAAATAACTCTTCCCCCAGTACTGGCCAAGATCAGGGCCTCCTGAAGGCAGGCTGGGGGCAGGGACTGACCCCTGGGTATGAGGAGAGGATGGAGGCAGGTCTTGGAAAGTTGAGGAGGGTCTCCCCTCACCTTGGATCCAGGCGGGTGTTCAGCATGTACGTGTGGGACTGTTGTCCTTCGCTTCTGAGCTGAGACACAGTTTCTACAAGGTTCTGCAGGATGTGAATTTTGATGTAATTGGAGACAAGGAAAACAAGATAATGCTCTTGTTCCCACTGGTAATGTGTCAGGGCAGCGCAGGGAGAACTGTGTCCTCGATGCCACCAGGAAACCGAAAGCAGGACTGGATGTGCAGACCTCAGAGGTGTCCCTGGAGATAGATAAGCAAGGCTGTGTGAGCAAAGAGACCCTGCACAATGAAATTTCTGCTTACCCAAATTACTTGGTGTTTTTTAATCACTGTGCTATTTATTTTTCTGATAAAGTGTTGGGCAATTCATGGCTGGGATATACTGAACTAGTATACTGTGTGCAATGCTTAATCGACACATTTGTTGAAGGTGGATATGGCTGATGAGGCTAAAACAAAGGGAATGCAGTTCTCCCGGACATGTGCTTGGCTATGGAGAAATTGATTGAATCTAGAATAGTAAGATGTTGTCATCCTCTTTCTGGAAAGCAAGAGATGAAAATACATGTTTTAAAGCTAATGTTATCTTGAAAATGGTAAATTGAAAGAAAATTTAAAGGCAAAATAAAGTTAATTGGGGTAGTAAATTCTATTGTTTCTGTGGTCTATCCCACGCCATACACAACTTAATACTCTTTTAACAATGTTATAACAACGCTGTTGTAACAGCTTCAAAAATGATCCCACTCATGGAAGTAACCAGGAGAGTTTTATCACTGAAATCCAGATCCTGGCAGTCTGAGACTCTTCCAACCAAATGAAGTAAGGTGTTTTTTCTCCATCATGTGCAAGACACACCTCCTGACATTCCACGTGATTTCTGTTTCTTCCAGTTCTCCAATCACGTGCTATCCATAACACACTAACCTTCTCCCACCACTCCCCCCAGTACTGACCCATGGATGGCAAGTAGAAACTTCCCCTCTCCAAGAAAACTTGTCTGGGTTTCCAGACACAAGGATGTGATATGGGGGCCCCAGATGTCTAGGATCAGGAGGCAGTCTTCTCTCTATTCCAGGCTCTTCCTTAGTTCAGCCAGATGTGCCCTGAATTCCTGGACTCTCTTCTCCACACCCTAGAAGTCCCTAACACATCAGGAAGCATACCTGCCCCTGAATTTCACCTCTGCAGCTTCTGTTATCTCTCTCTTGGCTTCTCATGTCCCCTGAGCCACCCTAGAAACCAATAGGAAATGGTTGTTTCTGATGCTATTTGTGGTGCTTCCAAGGTGAGACTCCACTGCAGCTATCCTTTGAACGTCAGCTTGAGGGGTCACACATTACCTGGATCTGCCAAATTCTCCCTTTGAATTTCATGACAAAGAGCAGTGGCCTGCAGGAGGTTTGATTAATAGATACCCTTCATATCACTTTGTGTGGTCTTTGCTTTCCACCATCTCTAGCTAGGGCTGCCTCTGTGGGAGGATGGAGTTTTCATCTCGAATTATAAAAGGGCTTTTAAAGGTGAACTGGCTACAGTAGTAAGCATCTAACCTGGACAAAATCTCATTTTCTACGATGGACCTGAAGTTGCTTTGCATTCATTTGTTGGGACTTATGAACTTCCTTCATTCATAAAAGTTGGCCATGGTTTTTATTTCCAAGGTCAAAAATCCTGAAAAGGCACCTAACTTGAGTGGGGGAATGAAATCTATAAACCAGGAGCCAAAGCTCAATACAGCCCTGAGTCAGGGGCAGCCCATCTCACCAGATCAGACCTGCCTGAGAGCACAGAGCCATGAGGACCTAAACTACCTTTGCCCCTTAAGTTTAATTGAAATGGAGGTTTTATCAGGATTTGTTCTCCAAAAAAGCTAACGGTAATATACCCATATGATAGATGCTTTCTTGGCTTCTAAAGAGATAATCCTCTCCTCTACCTTTACTCTAAACCTTGTATTGCTTTTCTTGAAGCCCTTATTCAATAGGGTTTTAAAGCCAGTAGCCAGGGACCTAATGAATTCACAGATTTGTTTCAACGATCCTAGGATGACTTTTCTCTTAACCTCTGTGCTTTATTCTCATTTGGAGAAAGAGATGCTTTCATTCACTAGCTCAATCATTTATTCTTTTATTTGTGCAACAAGCATTTATTGGTTCTCTGCTATGTAATTAACATTGTGCTAGGTACCATGAACAACAGGATACACTGCTGCCATCATGTTCTACTGTTAAAGACAGATAAAGGCACAGTCATGATACAGAACAGATTATATTGGGTTGTTGGAAAAGTCATGATGCATGTTTGCAACAGATGGCACTAGTTCATTTTTGGAAGTACTAGAGCAGTGGTTCTCAACCTGTGGGTCACGACCCCTTTGGGGGTTGAACGACCTTTTCACAGGGGTCACTTAAGACCATCGGAAAACAGAAAGATATTTACATTACGATTCATAACAGCAGCAAAATTACAGTTATAGAGTAGCAAGGAAAATAATTTTATGGTTGGGGGTCACCACAACATGAGGGACTGTATTAAGGGGTTTGCAGCATTAGAAAGGTTGAGTACCGCTGTACTAGAGTCATTTACATCTATGTTATTGCTATGTCATTTGGGAGCTGACAGTTCTAGCTTCATTCTTAAAAAAAAATGAGTGCTTTAGTTGAGTTTTGGAGATTTTACAAGTTGAAGATGAAAGACCAAACTGTGCATTTTTGCCATATTTTACTGTTTTGCTTCCATAAAGGGAAGAACGCGCATCAAGCTTGTGAAAAGTTGCATAAAGTTTACAGTGACAATCAATGCTCTACAAGAATGTCAGTACCAATTATGGTTCACGAAATTCCATGCTGGTGATTTTGATCTCAACAATGCTCCTCTGTCAGGGAGGCCCACCAAGATTGATGACGACAAAATAAAGGCATTGATTGAGTCAAACTCATGTTACATGACATGAGAGATTGCAGAAACATTGAACATCCATAATTCAAGCATTCACAACCACCTGAAGAAGCTGGGATACATAAGCAATTTCAATATTTGGGTTCCGCATGAACTCAAAGAAGTTCATTTGACCAAGCATATAAACATCTGCAATATGCTCATTAAACATGAGGAAAACGATCCTTTTTTGAAGCGACTGGTAACTGGTGATGAGAAGTGGATTGTTTACAACAATGTGGTCACAAACCGTCTTGGTCCTGACATGATGATTCGCCTCAAACAACGCTGAAAGCAGACATTCATCAGAGGAAGGTTATGCTCTCAGTGTGGTAGGATTTTAAAGGTGTCGTGTTTTACGAGCTCCTACCAAGGAACCAAACAATCAATTTGAATGTGTACTGTTGGCAATTGGACAGTTTGAATGAATCCATCATCCAGAAACATCCAGAGCTTGTTAATTGTAAAGGAGTTGTGTTCCATGGCGACAACGCGAGACCACACACAAGTTTGATCAGCCGTCAAAAAATGATTGGAGCTTGGATGGGATGTGTTGCCACACCCACCATACTCACGTGACCTTGCACCATCAGACTTCCACTTATTTCGCTCTCTTCAGAATTCCTTGCGTGGTATAACGTTCAATTCAGATGAGGCTATAAACCAGCAGCTTGTTTAGTGTTTTGCCAATAAAGACAGGTCCTTCTGTGAATGAGAAATTATAAAGCTCACTGAAAGATGGCAAAAGGTTATCAAACAAAATGGACAATATATCATTGGTTGATCTTTAGTCTTTATATAAGTAAATGACCTTTGAAAAACATAGACAAAATACATCATGACTTTTCCGACAACCCAATAGGTGCTGGAATGAAGTAAGCATTGAGGGGTATGGAAGAAGGCCCAATTTAAAAAGATTACATTCTGAGTTAATTGATGCTAAATCTGAGTTTTGATGACAGAGTAAAAGTTGGCCCTGAAAGCTGAGGTGGAGAAGGGCTTTGGGGCAGAAGCAAAGTTTGTGCAAAGTCAGAAAGATACAAAAAGCATGGCAGGCCAAGGAGCTTTATGGATTCAGCCCAGCTGGAGTATAAGGTAGATTATGGAGAATGGTAGAAGACAAATTGAGATTGGAAATGTATTAGGTTTCTCCAGAGGAAAAGACCAATAGGACACATCAGGGGTCGGCAAACTTTTGAGATGGAAGAGTCAATCCTGTCCCTCACAACAATTTAAAAATTATTCGAGAGCCATAAAACAAATGAAATCACATTATGTGAATGACATCCTTTAAAAATTTTATAAACGAAACTATGATAGTTTTGTTTTCATTTTCAATTTTACTTCAGAGCCACATGTTTTCATTTTCAATTTTACTTCAGAGCCACATGTACGTACCCAAAGAGCTGCATGTGGCTCGTGAGCCTCAGTTTGCTGACCCCTGGGATAGATATATACATAAAAGGGTGTCAAAAAATGTATACACATTTTAAGAAAGGAAAAAACTATTAAAACTGTAATACTCAATATATACCAATAACAAAAGATGAATACAAGTCACATTTGACTTCTGCAATTACGAGAGGTGCTCAAATGGTTATCATCAGCATAATTTTAAAAGTTTAATACATATATATGTACGAGTATGTATGTATTTGTATGTATTTATTGGGTTGTTGGAAAAGTCATGACGCATTTTTGCAATGAAAAACATAGAAAAAATACGTCATGACTTTTCCAACAACTCAATATATATTATTAGCAAGTATATGTGTGTGTGTGTGCGTGTGTGTGTGTATAATTGGAAAGATATATATTAGATATAATATATAAAGAGATTTATTATTTAAAAAAATGGCTATGTGATTATGAGGCTGGCAAGTCCCAAAATCTGCTGGGTGAGTTGGCAAGCTGGAGACCCAGGAGAGCAGATGGTGTAGTTCACACCTGAAGGCTGACAGGCTCAAGGCACAGGAAAAGCTCATGTTTCAGTTTAGGACTGAAGACTGCAAAAAAGTCAATGCCCTACTCTGAAGGCAGCCAGGAAGGAAGGAATTCTCTCTTACTTGAGGGAGGAGCAGCCTTTTTGTTCTATTTGGGGCTCAATTGATTGGGTGAAGCTCACCTACACTAGGGAGGGCAATCTGCTTTACTCAGTTTATCAATTTAATGTTAATCTCATCCAAAAATACCCTCACCGAAACACCGAACAGAATAATGTTTGACCAATAGCTGGCACTCCATGGTCCAGTCAGGTTGGCAAATAAAATTGATCATCATGGAAACATAGGCATGGGCCAGTGAGACCATTTCAAAAGAGAATGAAGTTCCGGGCCAACTTTTTATTACCTCCTCAAAACTTTTCTTATCTGCCAGTTCAAGGGGTGGTAGATTGAGAAAGTGTTCCTTACCCCTTTTTAAAATCTGAACATTTTCTTTAAATTACAATAATGAATATCATTTACTGTGTATTTACTATGTGCTGGCTGCTCAGTAAACATCTTACTTAATCTTCTCACTAATCCAACTCCCTATTAAGTTTACTCTCAAGAGAGAGGAAACCAAGGCTCAAAAGACTGTATACTCATCAATGCTCACAGTACCTGGACACAGCAGCTGTTCAGTATAAATTGGTTGAATGATATCAAGCCTCTTGTTAAAGGCCATACAACTAGTAAGTGGTGATTAAATTTCAAAACCAGTTTATTTGTCCCCAAAACCAATGGGCTTTAGTGAAAACTTGTGAGCACAGGGACAGAAGACATGGAGTTTGAGCAGTCAGATCTCTGACTTTTTATCTAACACAACATGAGGTAGGCCAAAGTGACCCAGCCTGAAAAAATCTCTGATAATTCCAACAAAGCCCGTCAGCATCGAGTACAGCTCCTTGAAAGTGATCTTGAACAATTAAACCACACACATTGGCAGACATTAGCTCTAGTTCTGGTTAGCTCAGAATTTCAACAGCCCCATTCCTGGAATGCTTTTGAGCACAATTTTCTACCTCTTATTAATTCATACTCAGAATGCTTTGGTAATAGCTAAAAAGATGGGGACAGTGTGTGTTTCAAAGCTGTGTGGTCACCCTTTGATTAACAATGTTCAGTTGGTGAAGGGTGACGGTAGGAGAGGAGGGCTGATTGTTGATTTCACATGAATTATGTTATTCATCCTCAGTAGGATGTTTATCAAGGAGCTAAGATTCTTCCTAGTAACTTATTAACTGTATTTGGAAGCATTTTAAGTCTTGGAGGCCGTATGGTGCTTTGAGGTGTTCCTCAGTTGTGAGTAATGACATAGGAAGGTAACTTAATCACTCTCCCAAGGTTCTTCCCAACTTTCAACTAAAGGCAGCTTTATAGTAATTGGACTTGAGCGTTCATTCCTACTGTCTCCCCTCCCTTCCTCCCTGTTCTGCTCACTTCCAAGGGCAGGGAGAAACTGTTTTTCATCTTCAGAGAAATGTGTGGAATGATTTCAAAGGGGGAATTTTGCTATTTCATCTAAACTTGCCAAAGACTTGATAAGAAGATCTCAAAAGGGACAATGTGGTTCTTTCGATTCTTTTGGACAATTGGTGGTAAATAGTCAGAAAGGAGGAAAAGTGGGAATAGATTAAGAAAGAAGATTCATCCAGGCAGAGGCCTGTGGAAATGCCCAATTGTCTAAAACCCACATGAGTCATGTTACAAAAGAAAGGCCAGTGGTTGTTTCTGGGAGAGGCATGTTGAGGGGTAGCCTTGACCTCCTTCCAACCTAAAACTGGAAAGTGAAACCAGAGCCTTTTTTTGGGTCATGTTGCTCCATGATATCATGTCTGCTGTGGTGTTGCGCCTTCAAATGGCAGCAGGAATATGGCTTTGCCTCTTCTCACCACCGCTTTTACTACCACCCTCATCTGCACTACCATCATCTCTCTCCTAGGTTGTTGCAAAGCCTTCGTCCTGACCTCCCTATGGTCCATTTTCCACAGAACAGCCTGGATGATCTGTTACAACCCCAGTCACATTATGTCTCTGTTCCAGAGCCTCCTGCATTTCCCCACATCACTCAGAGTGAAAGTAGTCCTTCCATGCCCCCCGCCCCCCATGATCTGACCCCTCCCTTCCCTTGCTAACTCTTCTCCTACCCAAAGATACAACCCAAAGCAGAAGCTCAGGTGTCACTTTCCAGAATTAGGTTGGAGGTCAAGGCTTGACCTCAACATGTCTCTCCCAAGAACAACCTCTGACATCTCTTACACCTCCTTTGTCTTCCAGTCTTGTCATGTTTTAGGCAATGGGCCCATTTCCTTGCTCACTCTACCTTTCTCACACTGGTGTCATTGATCTTTCGCAAACACACTATTTGCACCTGATGTTCTCTCTGCCTGGAATGCTCCTCCCCCAAATAATTGCATGGCATACCCCCTCACCCTTTTAGGATTCTGCCCAAATGTTTCTTTCTTCGGGAGGCCTCCGCTGACTGTGCTATTTACAATTGCAACTTCTTCTGCCCACTCCCCCTCCACCCTGTTTTGTTGTATTTTCCTCATCAGTGCTTATCATGACCTAACATGCTATATATTTTATTTATTATATTTTACCAATCCCTGGGACAGGGTTTCTTTTTTTTTTTTTTTTTCTCTGTTTTTTTCACTGTGGTATCCCCTGCATTTAGAAGCGTACTAATACATCCTAAATGCAAATTATATAATTGTTGAGTGAAGAAACGAATGACTAAAGCATTAAATGAACAACTAAAATATGGCCCGCCTTCAGCTGCGTGTGCGTGATGAGGAAGGCATGCTGCCTGTCCTACAGAAACTCATGATTCATTTGGGAAGACAATCATTTATTTAACTGGCCATTCAGTTGTTTTTGCTGTGAGACAGAGACTCGCTCAAAAACACTCTCAGAAATTGGAGTTGATTTAAGGACCTCTGTGGACAAACATTGGTCCAAGAACCAACAAGCCATCAGGACCCAAAGGCAGCACTGAGAGTCCGCCTTTCCTTTTCTCCCACGGTTTCCCTCTCTTGTAGAGTCGCTGGCCCACCTCTGAAGTTCTGGTTTACTCTCCTCACCTGCCATGCTTCCCACCTTATTCCCCACTCTCTTGTCTAGATCCCAACAGAGCTTATCTGCCTGACTTTCACTATCCCCTTGTTGGACAGAGCCCCTCACACCTTGTGAGTCAGCAGGCCCGCCCAGGGCAAGCTGCCCTTGAGCAGGTGCCCACTCTTAGAAGAGCTTTGCTTTAGTTGTCTGAGCAGGGACCCAGGTTTGGATCAGTCAGCCAAATTCAGATGTGAATAATAAAAGACAGTTTGGGATTCTTTGAATTTTTACATGGATTATTTGTAATTATGGAAAATTTAAAAGTATAGATCAAAAATAGCCTAAAATTTTAACTACTATTAACATCTTAGAATACCTTTTTCCTTGCATACTTATATGCTCATCCTTTTTATAAACACTATATCTACTATGCATATTATTTTATATTTTTGTTTTTATCACTTATTAACCATATTGCATGAACATCACTCCATGTCATATCTAGAGATAGATTGGTATTTAATTATTAAAGAGTGTTTCATTTTATGGATATATTATAATTTATTCCACCAATTTCCTATTTTTGGATATTTGATGGCACCCAGTTTTTTGATATTATAAAAAATATTGAAGGAATATTTCTTTACATAAATCCATAATTACTTT